AATTTACCTACAGCATTTCACACTTCATTTAGACCATTGATTGATAGTTGTGATCATTGCAAACAAAAATTTGTGAGCAATTATGATCCTACTGGTTTGGTGCTAATATGTGGACATGGATATCATTTGAATTGTTATAATACAATTGGTAGAAATTGTAAATATTGTCTAGAGTTTTATGAAAATGGGATTACTACAAATGTAAAATCTTATGTTAATAGATTAGAAAAAGAAGTGGAAAATAACAATGAAATGTTAAATGAAGAAGTTGATGATAATAATGAAGATACCAGTGAAATAGATGCAATAACATCAGAAAATATTGAAATTGTAGAAGAATTAGAAAATGCTCTCAATCAAGTAATAAATTGGTAATTTGAAATTATTTATAAATATCAGAAAATGTTTACTCCACAACATGAAGCACAAGTGTTTAGACTGACAGACCTTTAATGACATGGTTTTGAAATATGACATTTGCAAGTTGCTGGCATTTTATTTATTTATTGTTACTATTATAATATTGTTGTATAATAATAATTATTATTATTAAAATCATTTCTTATTTTTATTAAAAAAAAATCTTGACATTATTACCTTTTAAGAATAAATAAATATTTTTTTTGTATAATATGTTTTATAATATACAGTAAAAGCCTTAAATCAAAAAAATTTGGTACATATTGAAATCCTTCAAAATCAATGATCTTCTTTGATCTTTTTGCCCAATCCTTTTAATTAACAAAGAGTATATTCAAACAAAACATCATTGTTCTACAAGTGATTTTTAATCACTTGTGTTATAACTAGTTTTTTCTATTTTAAATCAATTGAAAATACAATGTGGTACAGCACAAAAAAGATCTTCATTCAATTTTATCACTATGTGATAAACGAATGTCCATTATGCTTAAAAAATGTCCAAAAAAAGAATAAGGGTAAAAATTGTCATCAAAAGATTTGGAACATGATCACCTGTGGTTTAACAATCAGAATAATGCATCTTTAACAGTGATTGATTTAATCAAAGGCATTGTTCCAAAAATTTTATCTGACTCAATCAATAAATTTCTCAATAATAGAACACACACTAAAGAAATTATAACTAATTTTGTCAATGAACTTCAAAAAGAAATTTTAGAAGAACTATGGAAACCACATTGTGAAATAATGCTAATCAATGAACATTCTGTTGGTATAGATAGAAAGCAAAATCATAAAAAGAAACCATTAAATTATGTATCTACTGTACAATATCTAATAATCATAATACCCTTAATGACAATTTAGAATTGGGTAAAAGAAGCAGACATTTGAATTTGTCACATGTGACAAAATCGATTGGTGATCTTTTTATATTGTGTGACTGTTCGAATTCAATTATTTAAAATAGAAAAACATGGTCGTAAATAACATGATCAAAAATAATTGTAAAACCCAAAAAATACTTTACAATAATATACCTTTTGTTGGAAACTTTATTTTGGTTAAAAATAATCCCGTTAATCCCGCAAACTGCAAGATCTCATTATGAATTAAAGATTTCAAATTTTATATATAAATTTATCAAGGTGCGCAAAAATTTTATTTTTTTATTTTGAAAAAAATAAAAATATACAATTACAAAACATATAATATTTTTAATTATTGATTCAAATGCCTTTGTTTGTTATAGAGAGTGTTTACTAGGATGTTCATTATCAAGAAAAATTAATTAATTATAAAAAAATGAAAAGGGAAGTTTCATTATAGAGGGAAAGAAATGAATGAGACAAAAGAGGAGTTCATTATAGAAAGAGTGAACTGTAGGCATCATGTGATTTGTTGATTACATGAAAGGTAGTTAGTTGTTTAAATTTATGCATGCAAAAATATATATATATTATCGTTTTTTTTTTATTTTTTTTTTTCTTTTGATTTAATTATTAGACATATAATATATATACACTGAATACAATTTTTTTATTACTGTACACAGATGTTATATAATTTATTAATTACACGAAAGGATTTCAAAAGTTAGTTGTTCTAAAAAACCTTTAAATTTATACATACATACATACATACATATATACATACATACATACATACATACATACATACATACATATATATATTATTATTATTTTTTTTTTTGATTTAATTACAACACATATAATATATATACACTGACTACAGTTTTTTTATTATTGTACATAGATGTTATATGATTTATTAATTACATGAAAGGATTTCAAAAGGTAGTTGTTCTAAAAACTCTAAATTTATACATGC